AAAATAGAGCCGCCAGCCGGTTTCACAAAAATCAGCAAAACAGTGGTAACACAGGGTTTGAGCCAAAACAGGCGATGAGATCCGATTTTTGCATTCCAGCACGAATGCATATAGTTGTACACGGAAAAACAACAGCAGGTTGTGCTACACCAATGGCAGATGCTCATGATGCTCGCCTTTTGAGCCAACAAACTCGTATTGAGCCACAAACTCGTTTGAGCCAACAAAACATTAGGGACATTAGGGCCATTAGGGTTTTGTATATGATATTTGGATGAAGGACTATATGCAGATATGAAAATAACACAAAGCACATACATCACTCCGTGTGTTTGCATGCAAGCTTCTGTTTGGGCTTCGGGTTCGGCAGGTTGGGGGTTTTGCCGGGCTTAGAGCTGAAGGTTTAGAGTTTACCGGTGAAGTTCGGGATCTGGGACGGAACTTTGGCTTATTCTGATTAGCGAGCCTTTGTAGCTTGAACCTTGGGACACTTTAGGCGCTCTGGGAATTTTAGCTCGCAAAGGAATCGGAACTAGATAGTCGGTTTGAGGTTTCGGGCTTGGGAGTCCTCAGGTTGAGATTTCCGGGTCTGAGTTTTGCTTTCTGGGTTTTGGTGTTGATGTTCGGGCTTCGTGTCGAGCTTGGGGTCTGCCAAACCCCAAAACCGCAAATCTTAAACCATAACCCCTAAACCCTAACAGCCTCTAACCTTAAACCCTTTAAGCTTGATTCCGGAAATTGGGCCCCAAGCTGCAGAGTGGCTGCAGCTAAAGCTGGTAGGCTTTGAAGATTTGCACCATTCAACACACTTACACACACACACACACACACACCAATTATAAACTTGACTTTCGCAGTCACGAAGCGACCAGAATGTAGCACAAGCCTGGCCCGCCCGAAACCCTAAACCCTAACCGAAGAAAACAAAAGCTCGACCCTTCGATTTGCGCCGCTGGTGCCTCGAATCTCGGTGCTGCAGCTTGGCGACTATGATGTGCACTGCGGCTTCCGGGAAGCATTTATACTGACCCTAAGCCCTACAATATCTTAACCCATAGCTTATATTGGCCCACAGAGCACATCGTAGAGGTGAGATCTAGCTTTGAACACGTAAAGGAAAGCCGAAGAAGCTGTAGCATCGAATCTGCTCTTTGTCGATCATCCTGGGGCAAGAAGTTTAGGGCAAGCATGAACAAGTCTTGCTGTTTGCGTTTCCAGAAGGCGAAAGGAAGTGGAGTACTGCCATGGTATCTCAAATAGAAATGCGAAAACCTAAAACCCTTGAGCCCTAAACCATCCTAAGTCTGCAAAGCTCAATTAGGGTTTCGGGTTGAGGCCTTCGGTCTCCGGGGTTGGATTGGAAAGAGCTATGAGCTAGCCATGGTGTCGCTATCCAAATGTCTCTGCGTCAGTCTACACCCGAACATCAGGTTCGAGCAGGGTTTAGAGTTTAGGGTTTAGGTTTTAGGGTTTAGAATGAAGACAAAACAGACTAGGAAACGATGCCGACAGCCCTTTTCTTTGGATTCGTTACAAAGTTTGAAACCGTGCCTCCAGAGCAATCCATGCCATCGCCAGTCTGAGAATCGGCCCTCACGGCCTCCAAAATCTGAAGTTTTCGGTAGACACAATAAGCCCAGTTGTGCCGGTGCACCGATCTACAGACTCGAGCTATCGCCCCATTGTAACTTTCGTCCTTGTAAGTCGTGTATGTCCGTGGGTTGCCTTGAAAGACAGCCCTTTGGATGCAGTGGTACATGAGATGGGCTTTCGGAAGCAGCGGATAGCCAGCTCGATTGCACAGCACGATGAAGCGGTCGTAGTGCATCAGCATCTCCCCAGCAATGCCTGCACTGATATCTCGTCCATGTTTGGCCATGACAGCATCGAAAGCCAGGGCACTGTGCCCGGCGTGTCTCGCCAGATCAAAAAAAAGCTGGTCCTGCTCGTTGCTGCTGGTCGACAGCCGATGCTTGTACTTGTTCAACATCTCGCACACAAATGCAAGCAGTCCGTGAGTTTCGGCCGCTTTGGCCTTCAACTGCTTCTCCGAAAGCATCGTAAGCGTGATATTCCAGACCTCGGCTGGGGTTGGCCCCGGGAACTCTTATGCTTCGAAACAACGGATTTGATTTCGCTATTTATAGGTTCAGAAATCAAAGTTTATTTGGACATTTGCGGCACCTCGGAGCCCTTCTTGGACCAGTCCGGGTCGTCTTGCCGTCGCAGCTTGTAGTGACTCTGTAGCTCAGCTCTCATGCAGAGCAAGGAAAGTTTGCTGAGCTCTTCCTTGTCTAGTCCCACGATTGAAGGCTTCCAAATATCGGTGTCCATCAGTAACTTTCTCAGACTCACAGTGATGTAGGTAGAGAGCGGCCCAAAATGCCACGTGTGAAGAAGATCAATAGTCCATGACTCAAGATTGACACCAGGAATCCGAAGGAAAGGGCTGTCGTGTAAGACCCTTCCACCCTCGCCACCAACATAAAACTTGCAGACAAAGGGGGTCTCTAGACTTTCGAAAAGCCCAACATCAGGTAGCGAAGCTGACGGCTCCAGGCGGCTGCCCTTGGGGAGGCCCAGAGCAGGGAAAGCCTTTTTCAGTGTTCGGCCCCGGCTGTCGCGGCGATACACCAAAATCCTGTAGATCTCCTGCTGGGTTTCGGCGTTTGCGATGGTGACTTCCTTCAGGGATTGAGGGTTTAGGGTTCATTATACAGGGTTTAGGGAGTTGCCCA